TTGGTCTTTTTTTGAGACAGGGTCTCCCTGTAGCCCCAGCTGTCCTGGAACTCACTATGTAGACCAGGCTGACCTTGAACTCACAGAGATCCGCCTGCCTCTGCCTCTTGAGTGTAAACCCATCTCAGCTTAAGTATATAACAAGTCCTTAGGAACCTTCTAGAATCATCCACCCTGAGTGGGTCTCTCCAGTAGTCTTTCCCATACCACCTAGCTCAAGCATCAGTCACCATGGTTATTGGCTAACCACCTGCCTTTCCCATTACAGCTATCCCAGGTCCTGCTGGCACCTGGCACCCTGTGTCATGTCTGGGAATACCTATCTCTCACTAGGCCCTAAACAATGGCTTGAGGCTTCCAGATGAAAAGCCAAACTCCTCATGTGCAGGGGACACCCATGGGGAACATCCCCCAGGTATCACCCAGGCACATCCTCCTGGAGGCCACCCTCCTGTTCCTCCTGGTCAGGGCTAGGCGTGACCACCACTCAGCTGTTCCCTCCCCCTGGCTGCCACTAACGTGCACACCATCTGACTGAACCTGGATCAACCAGGCAAATATTTGCTTTAAAGAAATCTAAACAGTTGCCTAACTGTGGGGAACCAGTTCCACATGTGCCAGACTGGCTGAGGAAAATGGAGGGCAGCTGCGTCCTCTATAGTCTCCGGGGCCTCCTGGACTGAGCCTGTGTCTCCCTGCTTGCCTCTGACAGGAACTGGGAATGGAAGCTGCCACCCACAAGGGTCAAGACAGCGGGGACAGGCAGCCCAGGGTGCAGCCGTTGGGACCCTTCACAGATGGCTGCCAATTCTTCATCAAGGGCCCCACAGAGCAGCCAGGTGTGCTGATACATGAACACGGTGGCCAAGAAGCTGAGGCAGGACGAGGAAGGTGAGTTTGAGGCCAGCCTGGTCTACAGGGTAAAACTTTGTTTCAAAAACAAACAAACAACACAGAAAAAAAGAGCCAGCAAGATAGCTCACTGGTAAAGAGCTGAGCATGCAGACCTGAGTTGATTCCCAGACCCTATAAAAATGGAAGGAGAAGCCAGGAGTGGTGGCACAGGCCTTTAATCCCAGAGGCAGGCAGATCTCTGTGAGTTCAAAGCCAGCCTGGTCTACATAGTGAGTTCCAGGCCAGCTGGGGCTACAGGGAGACCCTGTCTCAAAAAAACCAAAAAAAGGGGCTGGAGAGATGGCTCAGGGGTTAAGAACACTGTTCTTGCAGAAGACCCGGGTTCAAATCCCAGCACCCATATGGCAGCGAACAACTGTCTGTAACTCCAGTTCCAAGTGATCCGACGGCCTCTTCTGACCACTGTGGGCATCGCAGGACACAGGTGCACTTACCTACATGCAGGCAATACACGCCTGCTTCAAAAAGACCAAAAATAAATAAACAAATTTTTTTAAAGTAATAAAAAAATATTTTTAAAAAGACCAAAAACAGCAGAATGGGAGGACTGACTCCAGAACCGTCCAGACAGCGGGCGGATAAAACTTTAAATGAGCAAACCAGAACCAGAAAAAAGCAGAATGGGAGGACTGACTCCAGAACCGGCCAGACAGCGGGCGGATGAAACTTTAAATGAGCAAACCAGAAACAGAAAGAGACTCCCAATACCCAAGTACAGGGACACTTGTCCCCTAGCTTAGGGCTTCTTAGTGGGTGGGGCCAGGGGGACAGCCTGTCCCTCCCTCTACCAGAGGGACCTGCCCTGCTCAGATATTAGGAAGAAGCAGGCCAGAGACCACTGGCATCCCCAGGGTGCTTGGTCAAACCTCCAATTCCAGACAGGCTCAGGTGCCTTCCTTTTACAAAGCTACAATTCACCCTCTGGGTAGTGGGGAGCCATGGGCAGTGTTAGGCAAGGGCTGGGCCCAGGATGCAGCCCCAAACCCAGAAATCTGAGCCAGGGAGTGCCTTTCACTGGCTTGAGTACCCCAAACTGAGCCACCCTGATCTGAACCTTAGTCACAGCAGGAAAACACAAACTGTGACCCACAGAACTCATGAGTGGGACCTCTTGGTCCCTTCTGGAATTCCTACAGATGTAAGCAACCCTGAGGAAAATATCTTGCCTTGATTCACCGCAGAGGGCCCAGGTGGCAAAAATATGCTCCAGGAGCCGGGACATGAAATGTGACATCAGAAGTTTCAAGGTATGTTCTGGAACCTTTCAGCTTGAGCTCCAGGGTGGCTAAGGCCCAGATCTGCTGACTGCCCTTGCCTATCTTAGCAAACAGCCCCAGATAGGGGCTGGGGAAGGAACAGGCGATGGGCCAGGCCTCTACCTGTGCCACCTGCCCGGCAGCTCCCACTTAAGAGTTTACACAGCTGGGGAGAAGGTGGACAGCCACTTCACTGGCCACCTACACTTCCTTCCTGCTTCCCTAGGAAGCCATCGGCAATCAAGACTGAAAAGTTTCCACGCACCATGTACCTGTCCAAGTTGGTACTTCAAGGATGGGGACCAGTCACCCCACACATGCCCCTTTCCTCCCTGAGGCACACCCCACAATGGGTGGCATCCGAATTGTCCTCACAGGCACCCAAGCCTCTCAGGCAGGTCTGCAGCCTGCACCCACTCGGGTATTGTGTCAACACCGGCAGCTTAAGCCACTGGCCACCAGCCCTATGGACACAGGACTACCATGTCCCGACCTATCATGGACAGCCCAGCACTGGATCTTCCCTGTCCCCTCCTGCCACTGCCATCAGAAAGTGGGTGTTAGGTTGGTCCTCAGAAGAGGAGTCCCAGATCTCTGCATCCCTTGCTTGGCCAGGTGAGGCCTGGGACTTACCCAGGTCCCTGTGCCTTCTGCTGCCTCATGTGATGTAACCTGGAGCCACTTCTGGGGTCACACTCAGGGAGGGGACTGGAAAATGGAGACAGAGTGGATGGCCTGCGCCATGTCACCCAGGGAGCAAGGAGCATGTACGGACTCAGGTCAGGGGTCCCTCCCTGGGAAGTCTGCCCCACAGACTTGTGTCTAGGCACAGGGGCGTCTGTGATTGGCATGATTTGGGAAGTGGAGGAGTTATGGATCAGCAATGAGAAGGGGAGAGGAAGAAGGAGAAGAAATGAAGAGGAGTAGATGGAGGAGACAAAGGGAGAGGAGTGGCATCCAGGAACACTGCTCGGCACCCTGCAGTGCTAGGACACTGTTCCCAGAGTGACTCAGTCCAGAGTCAGTTCCTGCTGCCTCCTCAGCACCCAGAGTTAGAGCGGGTGTGCCCAGCCACAAGTCTGTCAGCTGTGTCCCACCCCTCGGGGTCATGAAGGCCTCCCTTGTTCCACACCTCCACCATCTCAGAGTCCAGGCAGAATTTCTTAACCATCCATCTTAACAGCGGTGGACCTTGGTTGGGCAGGGCTGCGATGCCAGCAGACAGTGACTCCACCCTCTTCCTCCCTCCAGGAGGATATGTGGGCTCAGAGACAGGGTCCCATCACCATCCCATGTCTAAAGAGCCTCAATGAGACCCTAGCCTTTGGGTTCACCCTTGAATAAAGCCACATCTACATGAGGAAGGGTCCCTGGGAGCCACCTCCCTCCAGAACTGTCCGACACAAGGCCAGAACCACCACTTCTTAGACCTAAATGAAGCCCAAATCAACTCCTTTTCCTGTTTTTGTTTTCAATGTCTTCTGCTCAGGATGTAATCTTGGGCCAGGCGCAGGCAACCTAATGCTCTACCCCTGAGCCACGCCCCCAGCCCCTCACTGGGGACTCTAGGCTGTCACTCTACCCTGAGCCACGCCCCCAGCCCCTCACTGGGGATTCTAGGCTGTCACCTGGCCCTGAGCCACGCCCCCAGCCCCTCACTGGGGATTCTAGGCTGTCACCTGGCCCTGAGCCACGCCCCCAGCCCCTCACTGGGGATTCTAGGCTGTCACCTGGCCCTGAGCCACGCCCCCAGCCCCTCACTGGGGATTCTAGGCTGTCACCTGGCCCTGAGCCACGCCCCCAGCCCCTCACTGGGGATTCTAGGCTGTCACCTGGCCCTGAGCCACGCCCCCAGCCCCTCACTGGGGATTCTAGGCTGTCACTCTCTCCTGAGCCATGCCCCCAGCACCTCACTGGGGAGTCTAGGGTGTCACTCTACCCTGAGCCACGCCCCCAGCCCTCTTGATTTAATGTCCATCACAGACACCACCTGAGGGCCACCTGTGGGAAGCAGAATCCCAACCCCAAAGCCCCAACTGTGACCATTGCCCCAGCAGGATGAGCAGACGGGACACTCACTTTAACAACCATATCATGGTCTTGAGGTGGGTGATTCTGTCCACAGGGGACTCTGGGGACACGAGCGGCTATCACAATGGGGGAAGCTACTGGCATGGAGTGGGTGGAGGCCAGGACAATGTTCAGCACCTTGCAGGGCCTGGGAAACCCATAGAGAATGTCCCGGGCTCATGTCTCCACTGTCAAGTGGGACCCATGTCTCTGAGGGACTGACAATGCCACTAGAGACAGCTCTCTATGACAGTTTAGGTTGAGGCACAAGCTATGTCCTCTCCTGAATAATGTCCCTAATCAAAGGGACCTTGGAGGCTCAATACCAAACCTTCTCAGAAAAGCCAAGCTCTGTGCCTGACAGCCTTCTAGATGTTTAAAGAATGCTACCTGGTCAGCTGTGGTGTCACATGATTTTGATCCCAGAAGTCTGGGAGGGAGAGGCAGATGGGTGGGCCTTTGTGAGATCTAGGCCACCCTGGTCTACGGAGCAAGTTCCAGGGCAATTTATTGTCTCAATAATAAATGAAACAAAACAAAACAACAGAAAAAGAATGCCATGTGGGCACAGCATGGAGGTCAGAGGAAGAGGCCTCTGTCCTCTGTGTAGTGCTGAAAGACAGGGCTTGCCATGTCAAAGGGAGACAGGTTCAAGCCCCAGCTTAGCCACTTCTGTGCTGTGTGACCCTGGGGAAGCCACTAAACCTCTTGGTGTGCCTCTGTCTCTCAAAGCTATAAAATGGTACGGTCCATAATATCCACACCTGGGATTAAATGGGACCACACACAAGAAGCATTTTTATAAAGACATGGGAAGTTACAGCAAACCAACAACAGCTGAATGAGCTATTTAGAAATCACACCCAGGAAAGTAGGGACCTAAAAGTTCCTTTCAGGCCTGGCGTGGTGGCACACGCCTTTAATCCCAGCACTCGGGAGGCAGAGGCAGGCAGATCTCTGTGAGTTTAAGGCCAGCCTGGTCTACATAGTGAGTTCCAGGACAGCTGGGGCTACAGGGAGACCCTGTATCAAAAAGACACACACAAAAAAGTTCCTTTCAGAACATAGAAAAGTGAAAAGTGGTATTTTGTCAGATGAGCTGGGGGTGGGGTGGGGGCACCTCCCAGCCACGGGGTCAGTGCCCCTTTGTGAACCTTGGAGGGTGGCTGGAGCCAGGGCTTAGGAAAGGAAAAGCCTGCAAGCAGGCATGCACAATGAAGCAGCCCTGGCCCCAGGGTCAGTGACCTCAGGGCCACACAAAGCCACTTCCTGTCAACTTCCGCATTCTCCAGCAAGCTGATCCCCACCTCCCAGCCCACCCTGAGCCACCCAGACCTTGGCCCAGTGGGACTGACCTTCTAAAGGGGCCAAGGAGTTTCCATGGTAACTGTAGGCGAGGGGCACGGACCTTGACAGAAGAAATGTTGGGTTAGGGTGACAGGGGGTTGGAGAGGCCGGTGATGATCCAAGGGTGGTGATGGAGCCCAGTGATGATACAAGGATGCTGATGGAGGCTGCCGATGGAGGCTGGAGAGGATGGAGGGATGGTGATGGAGGCTGTTGATGGAGGCTGGAGAGGATGGAGGGATGGTGATGGAGGCTGTTGATGGAGGCTGGAGAGGATGGAGGGATGGTGATGGAGGCTGTTGATGGAGGCTGGAGAGGATGGAGGGATGGTGATGAAGGCTGTTGATGGAGACTGGAGAGGATGGAGGGATGGTGATGGAGACTGGTGAAGATGTAAGGTTGGTGAGGATGGAGGGATGGAGAGGCTCTGGGCCTCTCTCTTACTCACTTTCCATCGGGGATTGAATCCCCGCCTGTGGGGCCTAACCCTGTCTACCTGGCTAGACTCTAGCTGAGCCTCCCAGCCCCGTGGGGCTGCCAGCGCGCCCAGGGTTGCACTTGGGAGAGAAGCGTCCCTCAGTGCCCGGTTTCCCCAGGACCCAGCTGGGAACTGGTGACTGCGGTCCACACCTCCTGGGCACCAGTCCCAGCTCTTCGAAAGCAGGCCGGTGCTCCAGAGGGAGATGGGGTGAGTGGCAGAAGGAACAGCCCACGGGATGCAAGGCTGGGCTGTAGCAAGGATGCAGAGGGGTCAGGGCAAGTCTAAAGCTGGAACCCTGTGGGAGGGTGGAGCTGAAGATACACAGATAAGCTGAGGTTGAGGACTGAGGGTGTTCAAACTTTGGGTGGGGGAGAGGACAAGGTGGGAAGGTGAGACAGGGGAGGACTAGATAGATGGAGGGACTAGGTTCCAGAGGGAATCAAGCTTGGCGTGGGACCATGTGGGAAGTGAAGGCTCAGGAGGAGGACTGGAATATGGGGGATCAGGATTTGGGAAATCAAGCTCTGAGGGGGAATCAAGGCCTGGAGGGATTAGGCTTGAAAGAATAAGGCTGGGGGAATCGTCTGGCAGGGACTCAAGCTGGAGGTATCAAGCTTGGAGGTATCAAGTTTTGGGGAGCAGGCTTGGGGGAATCAGGCTTTGACGGGGATCAAGCAGGAAGGAGTTCAATAGGCTAGGAGGATAAATTTGGAGGTGATGACTTCAGGTTTGGGAGATCAAGCTGGGAGGGGATCAAGTTTGGGGGGGTCTGGCGGGGGTCCAAGGCAGAAGGGGATCAGGTTTAGGGGATGAGGCTGGGAGGGGTTCAGATTTGGAGGATTAGGCTGAGGGATCAAGCTGGGAGGGGATCAGATTAAGGTGTGAGCAAACTGGAGGATCAAGTCAAGAAAGGATCAGATTTGGGGGATCAACCCAGGTGGGGGTCAGGTTTGGGGAGTCAAGTCGGGGGGGGATCAGATTTTGAGGTGATCAGGCTGAGGATCAAGCTGGGAGCAAATCACGTTTGGAGGGATCAAGCCAGGAGGGGATCAGGTTTGGGAGAATCAGGCTGGGAAGGGATCAGGTTTTGGGGATCAGGCTGACGTGATCAGGTTTGGGGGATAAAGTTGGGAAGGGATTAATTAGGTTTGGGGGATCAGGTTCGGGGGATGAAGCCAGGAGGGGATCAGATTTGGGGGGAATCAAGCTCAAAGCAGATCAGGCTAGGACGACCAGGTTGGGGGGAATCAAGCAGGAAGGGGACCAGATTTGGGGGATCAGGCTGGGGGATGAAACTGGGAGTAGATCAGATTTGGAGGGGATCAAGCCAGAGGTGACCAGGTTTAGGACGGATCCCTGCGGGGATCAAGCTCGGAAGGGATCAGGTTTCGGGGGATCAAGCCGGGAGAGGAAGCCAGGAATGTGGCTTGGGGTTCAGCCTGGAGGATGAGGCTGGAAGGGTCGGGCTGGAGGTGGACGCGACCCCGCCGTCTCCGCAGCAGTGGCAGCAGCTCCTGGGCGCGGCCCGGAACCGGCGGACGCAGTGACCCGGGAGGAGCTGGGCGGGGGCCGGAGGAGCCGGGCGGGGGTCGGAGGAGCCGGCCGGGCGCTGCTCACCGGGGGGCCGGACAGGGCAGGGCGTCCCGGGGCCGGCGGTGCCTCACGCGCGACACTCCATGCCCGGAACTGCGGTCTCGGAAGTGCGGGGCGCGGGGGACAGCGACGGCCGCGGACACCGGGCACACCGGGCACCGCAGGCTGGTGAGCCTTTGACCCGGAAGTTGAGCTGCCCAAGCGGCGGTTCTTGATTGGATAACGTCAGGCCGGAACCAATAGCCTTGAAGTGGTAGGGGGGATAGGCGGGCGCGACACGGTCTAGAAGGTTGGGTGGAGGAGGCCTTGGGCCTCGAGTCCTGGAAGACCCACACCCCTACGTATGTTGGGCTCATCCGGTGTCCGCTTTGTTAAATAGACGTGGAGCTACCTCTTCTATCAGGCGTTGGTGGTATAGTGGTGAGCATAGCTGCCTTCCAAGCAGTTGACCCGGGTTCGATTCCCGGCCAACGCACTTTTTTTTTTTTTTTCCCCCTTATTCACTTCACAAATCCAGACATTGCCATTTGTGCTTAATCTCTCAAAAAGTTACTCTTAGCCGGCCGTGGTGGCGCACGCCTTTAATTCCAGCACTCGGGAGGCAGAGGCAGGCTGATCTCTGTGAGTTCAAGGCCAGCCTAGTCTACATAGTGTAGTTCCAGGACAGCTGGGGCTACAGGAAGACCCGTCTCAAAAAGACCAAAAACAAACAAACAAACAAAAACCGAGAGAAAACCCGGAAAGCTAAGGAAAAGTCCCTAAATACAGAAATAAAGAACAGACCTGGGATTGCTATTGTAGACAGTTTTGTTCTTAATTTATGATTTTGTATTTTAAATGTGTTTTTTGTTGTTGTTTTTTATCTATTTGAGACAGGGTCTCCCTGCAGCCCCAGCTGTCCTGGAACTCACTATGTGGACCAGACTGGCCTTGAACTCACAGAGATCCGCCTGCCTCTGCCTCCCGGGTGCTGGGATTAAAGGCGTGCGCCACCACGCCCGGCATTCTCACTTACTTTTAATAGTACATAATTAGAACCTCCGCACCGGATCGAACCTGGGAGCTCCCGCAAGCACGGAAACCCCAGGGCCAGCTTGA